TACTCCGTCTCCTCGGCTTCGAGAACGCCAGGAATTACGACGCGTCCATGGGAGAGTGGGCCAAACCGCGACGACACACCGCTGACCGTGTAGCGGCCCCGGCGATGGCCCGCAGGGTGCGAATACTGCGGTTATCGACGGCGACTCGCTGGAGGTGAAATACGCGGGGCTGTTCAGCTTCCTGCGGCGTGCCGTTTCCCCGGTGCGCCTCTACGTCAATCGACGCGCGGAGCTCGCCCAGCCTCGCTGGCAGGAGTCGCGCCGTCGGCTGGCGGCGTTGACTGCGGCGCGTGCGTATTCCGCATTGAGGCGATGGCGACGGACCGTACGGGCGGACGGTGGCCTGCCTCTAACCGCCGGCGCCGGCGGGGCCAGTCGGTCACCGTGGAGATGGTCCGCTCCGGCCATGGCATGGTGGTACCGGCGCTACGGAGGACGCGACCTGGGGTTTCCCGAGGCCGAGGCGGAGGCGAAACGACGGCGGCGCGGCGTCTGGCGGGACGGCAACCGCGCCCGGCGTCCCTGGGACTACCGCGCGGACCTGCGGCGGTCGCGTCAACGCCGGCGTAGATGAAGCGGATCCTCATCTGGACGGTGGTCGTCGCGGTGGTGGTGGTGGCGATCGCCATGGGGTTGGCAGTGATCATCAGCCTGTTTTGGTAGGCTGCGTTTACGGCGGTACCAGCGGGTGCCCGATCAGGCCCCAGTAGGGGATCACCAGGAATAGCAGCACGACGGCGGCGATGACGGTCATGGTGATCCCGAACCGGAAGATCTCGGGATTGGCGATGTTGGCCCGTTGGAATATGAACACGCTCGCGGTCGCGCCGGCCCCGTAGTAGACGACCGAGTCGCCGATCACCACGGCGGCCATGCCGCACACCAGCGGGTTGAGACCCAGGGACTCGGCTGCGGCCATCGTCACGGGTATCACCAGCGCCAGGTAGCCGGCGATGTTGGGCAGCAGCATCCGCGGAGGGCGAAACACACGCACAGCGCCAGCAGGATCAGCATGGGCGCGGATGTCAACTGCGATACTCCTCCGACCAGCGTTTCCGAGAACCAGGCCGCGGCGCCGTGGTTACCAGGGTGTGGGACAGCGAAAGGGACGAGGCGATGATGAAGAAGTTGGACCAGCCCAGGTTCCGCTCGAATTCGCTCCAGGTGAGGATGCCCACCCGGGGGAGCAGGATCAAGCACATGGCGATGAGCGCGGGCACCGCCGGATGGAGGCCGTGGGCAAAGTCGGTGAACCAGAGCAGGGCGGTCAGCATGACGATGGCGGCGGCTCGCATCTCGGTTGGGCTCATCCGGCCCAGCGAAACGGACGCGGCTACAGCAGCGTCATCCAGGCGGAAGCCGGACCGGTAGAACACGAACAACACGGTCCCGCCCACGACCAGATTGGCGTAGAAAGGCACGCTCATCAGCACGAACCACTGCGTCCAGGAAAAGTCGCCCAGGAGGCCAGAGGCCACGACCGGGGTGATCCCACCGGCCAGCAGCGCGGTGGAACCGAGGCGGTTGAGGCTGCCCATGGCCACCATCATGGCCTTATACAGCGGGTGTTCTCTCGGTACGTTCCAGTGCTGCAGCACCTGCTCGTACACGTGGACCATGATGGCCCCACGGGTACTGGCCGACGGCAGGGCAAGGTGAGCGCGGCGAAGGAGAACAGCATCTGCACGTACAGCAGGCGCGGGCTGCCACCGGCTCCCCCATCAGATATGTCGCCATGCGTTGCGCCAGCCCCGAGCGTTGCACGGCTAGCCCCAGCGTCAAGATGCCGACGAGGAAGTAGGCCACCGGCTGGGAGAAACCGTAGAGGGCCGTTCCGAAGTCGGGCACGGCTCCCACCAGTACCAGAAGCACCACACCGACGACACCGACGACCGCAATGGTATCGCCTCGGTGGCCCAGAGGATCACCGCCAGGACCATGACCGCCAGAGCCCGTTGCCGCCGGCTCGGAGAGACCGTCGGCGTAGGCGCCAGCAGGATTCCCAGGAAAACCGCAACGGCAAAGCCCAGTTTTAGCCGCCGCCAGGCTCCGAAACGCCGGAAAGAAGCTGGGAATGCTCGGCAATGTTGCCCGCCGGTAGCCGGCGAGCGCGTCAATCCCGTGCCGGGACGATCAGCGCTCGGTCTGCCTCAGGGGACTACTGGTGACGCGGTTCACCGAGGTGACCCCCGCTATCCCCTCGATGCGGGAGAACACCCGGTTCAGCTCCTCGAGGTCCTTCACGTGGATGGTGAACTCCATGCTGACCGTGGCATCGTCATTCTCGCGGGTCACGGCCCAGCGATGTTGATCTTGGTCGTCCGAGACCTTGATGGTAACGTCCGCACAGGCCCACCCGGTCCATGGCCTCAATGCGGATGCGGACCGGATACAGTTCCCGCTTCTGCCCCCCACGAAACCGGAACCAGCCGCTCCTGCTCGTCCTCGTTGAGCACGTTGATGCAGCCTCCCTTGTGCACGCTGACACCACGGGAGCGCGTGACGAAGCCGATGATCGGATCGCCCTGGATGGGATTGCAGCAGCGGGCGATGCTGGTCAATAGGTCACCCACGCCCAGCACGTGTTATGCCGGACGACGGGCTGGACAGCGACGTCGATCCCCGGAGCTTGGGCATCCAGGACGTCTCGTCGATCTCCCTCGTTGCGGTGCTGACTCAACCGCGCGGAGAGAGCGGAGGTCGCTGAGCTCGCCGGAACCCAGGGCGGCCAGGAGGTCCTCCATGGTCTCGTAGCGGCACCCCTCGATGACCGCGCGGTCGGACATCCTGACGCCCATCCGTCGCAGTTCGCGCCGGAGTAGCTCGCGTGTCCCCGGCTGATATTGGCGCTCCGGGCCTGCCGGTTGAACCACGAGCGAATTTTCTGACGCGTACCGTTGGTCGCCACGTACTCCGCGCGCCGGGTTTCAGCCAGTCCGGTGAGGGCCCGCGCCCGGTCTTTCCGGCAACCACCTCCACGTGTCGCCGTTATGCAGGGGCGTGTCCAACGACATCAGCTTGCCGTTCACCTGGCGCCCGGAGATGCGGTGGCCCAGGTCGGTATGGATCTTGTAGGCGAAGTCGATGGCGTGGCGCCCGCGGGCCATCTCCATGATATCGCCCTTGGGGGTGTAGACGAACACCTGGTCAGGGAACAGGTCTTCGCGGACCCGCTCCAGGAACTCATCGGTGTCCGGTGTTTCCCTCTGCCATTCCAGCAGCTGGCGCAGCCCTGTCATCCGCCGGCAGGTTGCCTCAAGGTGGCGTTTCGCGGCTCCTGTCTCCGGCGAACCGCCGCGCCGCTCGCTGTGTATCGCCAGTGGGCGGCCACCATATGCGCACCGTGGTGCCTATCGCGGTCTGTTGATCTGCACTTCCAGTGGGTGCCGCCTGGGTCGCACGGAGCACGGTGGTGTGGGCAGACGCCTGGGACATGTTCTGTTCTCTCTCTCGGCGGGTGTTGCAATGTGAGTCGTCGACTGCTGGCCGGGGTCCGGCTCCACATGCGCTGTGCGATACCGCAGGGCGGTGTAGCAGTGCGGGCGGCCTGTGTCTGCGTCGACGACGACGCGCGAGGGCGTACAGGTCGTAGATGTCGCTGCGGTTCCTTGCCACTCGGCCGCGTACTTGCTCGTTCTCGATCTTGTTGTGTATGGAGTAGATTCCGTGTTGCGTCCGGCGTTCACGTCCGCGCGGAGGAGATGTCCGCCAACTCAACGTCGCCTGCAGCCGATCTGCAACGTCGGCCACGTAGGCCTCGCGCGCTGGGACCGGCGATGCGTGACGCCAGCCATCCGGAAGATCTCCCGGATCGCGTTTCATTCAGTGGCCGGAAGGCCAGGTCATGCAAGCTGTGCACGTCGCGTCAACTCCGACTGGCGCAATCCCTCAGCCGATGGCCTGGGGAGAGTAAACGTCCATGGGGTGTCGTTCGCTGGTGCAAGTGCGCCTGCCGCTTAGTCTTCGGGAGTGCGTGCCAGCGTGGCTGCATGTTTTGGAGCGCCGGTCGGCGATGCTTGAGTGAGCACGCACGCGGATGTCCGGTCGGCCATGGCCACCGAGCATCTTGCGCACGCGCTTTCGCGGCGTCAGGTTCTCCATTGGCGGGCGCGGAGCCATTGCCGCTGCATCCAGGGCGGGGCCGAGTAGTCGACTACGCGGTCGAGCTCTTGGTGAGCGGGCGGCCGTCACACCAAGGCGAGGATCACGTTGGCCCGAAGCGGACTTCAGATTCGTGTCCGACGTGCCCCGGGCACGCCGCAATCTCCATCTTCCACCACGTCGTGCAGCAGGGCCGCCATGATGTGTCCGGGGTCCAGAACAGTCGCGAGGATGGTGGCGGCCGCCAGTGGGTGCACGATATAGGGTCGCCGGACCGCCGCATCTGCCCATCGTGACACCGGTCTCGCGAAGTCGTAGCCGACCTGATGCGTTCCAGTTGGCTCGCATCCTCACGTACTCGGAAACGCGAGCGATCAGATCGGTGGACTCGCTGGTGACGGCGACCATAGGCGTCCTCCCTGCCGATACGAGGGCTGGCGCGGCCTACCCTCCTCCGGGCGCACATCCGCGTCTGCAGCCTGTCCAACGATGATAACCACCCGACCAAGTATGTCCAGCCGGGCGTGGCACGGGCAGGTCATTCTATTGTTGTGGCATTCAGCGACGCGGGAGTCGCGGACAATGCAACCGGCTTTCGCAAGAACCGTTTCGTGGCAAGAACGCGCATTAGGGCAACGAGATTGCCACGCTCGCTCGCAATGACATTTGGGATATCGAGTGGGCCCTGGTGCACGGGGGACTCGGGAATACCGAATGCCGGCAGTTGTGGGCTTGAGCTCGAGTTCAGCGGCGCCAGCGGTCCACCGGACGATTTACTGGAACAGTTCTCCCACCGACGCCTCGTGGATGCGCTTTCATCGCTCGCCGATCAGCGGGGCAATCGACAGCACGGTCAGGTTATTGACCTTCTGGTCCGGGGACAGCGGCACGGAGGTCGGTCACCACCACTTCCTTGAAGGCGCTTTCCTTGAGGAGCCTGGGGGCGGCCGGCGCGAATACCGGATGGGTGGCGCAGCAGAACACCTCGGTACGCCGGCTTCCAGCAGGGCGTTGGCCGCGTTGACGATGGTGCCGCCGGTGAGGATCTCGTCGTCAAAAGTGAGGGCGCGTTTGCCGCGCACGTCGCCGATGACGTTGAGGGTCTCGGAGCGGTCGTCGTTGGCGGTGCGGCGCTTCTCGATGACGGCCACCGGCACGCCCAGTCGCCCCGCCATGTCCCGCGCCCGCTTGCTGATGCCGAAGTCGACGGCCACCAGCACCAGGTCCTCCAGCCCCTTCTCCGCGAAGTAGTTGGACAGGAGCGGCTCGGCGGTCAGCTCGTCCACCGGGATGTTGAAGAAGCCTGGATCTGGCCGGCGTGCAGGTCAAGGGTGAGCATCCGGTCGGCGCCGGCGGTGGTGATCAGGTCGGCCACCAAGCGGGCGGTAATCGGCACCCGAGGCTGGTCCTTCTTGTCGGTGCGCCCGTAACCGTAGTAGGAGACCACCGCGGTGATCCGCCCGGCCGACGCCCGCTTGCAGGCGTCGATCATGATCAGGAGTTCCATCAGGTTGTCGTTGGTGGGCGCGACGGTGGGCTGGACGATGAACACGTCCCGTTCGCGGATGTTCTCGCCGATGCGAACGAAGGTGTTGTCGTTGGCGAACTTGAACGTCTCGCTCTCTCCCAGGGGAATTCCCAGGTAATCGCACACATCCCTCGCCAGTTGGGGATGCGCGTTGCCGGTGAATACCTTGAGTTCTTCGATCGTTGACATGGCAGCACCTTGCATTAAGTTGCGGTGAGGGCATGGCAGCCGGCGCGAAGTCCGACCAATGCAGCGGGACAATCGGATGGTAATGGTAAGTGGGCAGACCGATTCTAGTCAACGCCGGGACGCGCGGGCGCAGCCGGCGACACCCCGACACCGGTTCCAACGGCGGTCGGTTCCCGTTGCTGCAAGGGCAATTGCCGCATACGCCGACGGACAGACGCTCAATCCGCTCCCGCGACGTGCCCTTTGCTACAATAAACCCGGAACCCCGGGCACATTCATCAGATGAACCAGACCAACAGATGAACCAAACCAATTGGCTGCGCGAACTTGCCGAGGCTGCCTTCATAGGCATCGTCGTATTCGTCGCGATCCAGGTGGCGGTGGCCAACTTCAGGGTCGAGGGCTCCAGCATGCAGCCCACGTTGCTGCCGGGTCACTACCTGATGGTGAACAAGCTGGTGTACTACCAGTTGGACACGGAACGCCTGGGCAAGATCATTCCCTTCTGGCAGCCGGAAGAGCCCCGGTTGGTGCACACGGTCAGGCCCCCCAAACGGGGCGACGTGGTCGTCTTCGACTACCCGCTGGAACCGGACCGTCAGTTCGTCAAGCGGATCATCGGGGAGCCGGGAGACCTGGTGGCCATCGACAACGGGCAGGTCAGCGTCAACCAGGAGACGCTGGACGAGCCCTACCTGGATATTTTCGGCCGCACCAGGATGCATGACATCCAACTGGCCGATGACGAGTACTTCGTGCTCGGAGACAACCGCAACGGCAGCCGGGACTCCCGGCATTGGGGCCCGCTGCCGGCGGACCACATCATCGGCAAGGTGTGGGCGATCTACTGGCCACGTTCGGCGTGGGGATTCCCCGACTAGCGCCGGACGGCGGGTTACGTCTGCGGCCGGCGTCTGGGCGCCGGCCGATCAGGATTCAGGAACTGGGACCGGCGGTCGTTAATCCGCTTCGATAACCGGGCCGACCAGTACGTCGTCGCCCTCGACGCGGACGGCAAATTTGCGCAGGGCCTCGGTGGCCGGAGGAGTCACCGGCTTGCCGGAAGCAACGTCGAATACGGCGCCGTGCAGCGGGCAAACCACCTCGCCTTCTTCCAGGTCTCCCTCGGACAGGTTGGCATAGGCGTGGGTGCAGATGTCATCGCAGGCGTGCAGGTGGCCGTCCAGGTTCACCAGCAGGACCTCTTCCGATCCAACGCGGACGGACATCATGTCGCCCGGCGGTATGTCGCTGAGAGACGCTATCTTGACAAATTCGTCGGCCATTTGGCTGCTCCTTGGAATGTTCCTTGAGATTGATGCGGCAGGGATCAGCAACGGCAGCGGCCACCCTCGCTCATCTCCGGTGACCGAACATTATATATGAGAAAGCTTCCGCAGACGGCCGGCGACCGAGGCCCGCTCAGGGTCTGTCGATTGTCGTCATGGGGGACGACACGAGGCGTCGGCCGCGGGGCAACGCCTCGGTTTTTGGCAAGCGGCGTTGCTACGGCGACGAGATTGCCACGCTGCGCTCACAATGATATATAGCAATGTCGCATGACTCTACAGGCCCGCTGCGAGGCGTTGCCGACAACCGGTGGAGCCGTCGTGCGGTCAGGCGGGGCGGATGAATTTCTGGCACACCACGGCAGCGTCGTACATCTCGTTGATGCTGGCGGTTTCTCGCGTGGTGTGGAAGTCCCGAACGCCGATGCCCACGGGCAGGGCCACGATGCCATGCTCGAAGAAGACGTTGGCGTCGGACCCGCCGCCGGTGGTTTCCAACGCCGGAGCCAATCCGGCGGCGGTCACCGCCCGCGCGATGTCCATCAAGGCGGGGTCGGTCTCCAGAACACGATAAGCCTGGTATTGGTTCCGGATGTCGAGGTCAATCTGGGCGCGCGGATACATGGCGGCCGCCTGATCGAAGGCTCGGCGAAACTCGGAGGTATAGTTCTCCAGCTTGGCCTGGTCCCGGGAGCGCAGTTCGCCGTCCATGAACGCCTGCTCCGGGATGATGTTCCGCTTGAGACCGCCCTCCAGCACGCCGATGTTGCTGGTGGTCTCATGGTCAATGCGACCCAGCGGCAGGCGGGTGAGGATGTTCGCGGCAACCAGCAGGGCCGACACGCCGTTTTCCGGTTCCAGGCCGGCATGGGCGGCAACGCCGGTGATGCGGCACTGCACCACGTTCTGCGCCGGCGCGCCGACACAGATGCGGCTCACCGGACCTTCGCCGTCGAACACCATGCCGTTGGTAGCGTTGATCAGCGAGAAATCCAGGTTGCGCGCTCCGTTCAGGCCGCCTTCTTCGGCGCGGGAGAACACGACCTGCACCGAACGCCCCAGGCCGCCGTCTTCCATGGCGGCGGTGATGCCCTCCAGGACGATGGCCAGGCCGGCCTTGCAATCGCCGCCCAGGATCGTGGTTCCGTCGGAGCGCAGGGTGTCCCCGTTGGCGTCCAGGCTGGGTTGAATGCCTCGGCCCGGCTCCACGGTGTCCATGTGGGCGGACAGCATGACCGGCGGCTCGCCGGCGCTGCCGTTGTTGCCGGGCAGCGTGGCCACCAGGTTGCCGTAGGCATCGTGCTGCACCGCCGCCCCAAGGTCACTGAGCCGCGCCGAGAGGTGGGCGTCGATGGCGTCCTCCTCCCCGGTGGGGCTGTCGATCCGGATCAGTTCGGTGACGGTTCGGACGAGGCGTTCTCGGTCAGGCATGGTTCAGGCTCCGCCGGTCAGGCAAGGGCGATCAGGTTGTGGCGCGCGTCGGGGGTCATTTCATAGCGGCGCGGTTTTTCCTTGGCGATGGTGACGCCGTGTTCCTCCATGATGGGCCAGAGTTGCTTGGCGAACCAGATCCCGAATTGCGCCGCCGTGAAGGACGCGGCAGGATGCGGGGGTGTCCGGCCTTTCAGGGCGGCCTGGGCATCGGATGCCTTGAACACGTCGTCGGTGATGCCGGCGGCGACGGTGGCGGCCAACTGGGCAAGGCTGGGCTCGGGCGTGGGTTCCGGCGATGCCGTCATGGCTGGCTTGGTTTCTTGCCGGGGCACCTGCTTCGCCACGGCGCCCGGGGACCCCGGTGTAATTTCGTAGGTGCGAGGCGAGCCCTGGCGAGGCATCGTGACGCCGCGTTTTTCCAGCAGAGGCCAGATCCGGTTGAGCAGGAACAGCCCGAACCGGGAAGCTTCGCCGGCGGCCGGATGCTCCGGCCAGCGCCGACTGACCACCTGCTGGGCGTCGCCGGCGCGGAAACGCCCCACGGGTAGCTGCCGCAGCAATTCTTCCGCGACTGCTTCATCGCTGACCGGCGTCTGGGAGGCCGCAGACTGCAGGGCGGGCCGGGCCGCTTGGGGCAGACTGCGCGGCGGCGGGGGCGCGGCCACCTCCGGTACCAGAGATACGGCTGGCGACACCGGCGCCGGAGCAGCCGACAGTCCCAGCGTAGCGGTCGGGAATGAACTGCTCGATTTCGCCGGACAAACCTCCGGCTTCGGGCGCGGTTGATCCACAGGAACGGGATGTCGTGAGGGTCAGCCGCCGCCAACTCACGAACCTTGACGAAGAGCGCGCCAAAGTCGCTGTCGTTGCTCGCCACTGCGACCGTACCGGCCTGGCCGGTGATGAGATCGGCAATGGCGTCCGCGGTAATGGCCAGATCGGCAGAGTTCTTGGCCCGGTGGTTGCTGAAGTGTTGAACGCCCCGGACGCGAACGTGCAATGCGGGATACTCGGTCTCAGCCCAAAGCTGCCATAGCTCGGCTTTGTCGGCCCGCACGTACAGGAAAGACCACTCAACGGCGGGCGGTCCGCCGGCCAGTTGGCAACGACACGGGAGACTACGATTTGGGCGTGCTCGGACTCCCGCAGGTTCTCGGTATCAACGTAGATTGCCGAGCCGGGCGAGGCGGCAGGTTGGGAACCGTTGGATCGGGTGGTCATGGCTCACCCCGTAGGATCACAGAGTTATCCTGGCTGGCACCAATCGTTGATTCACCGGGTCTGCCGCGGCCCCGAAACGCTCCAAGGTCATTGCACCGATCAGAATTATCTCGTCGTCGGTGCCAAAAGCCACATGAACGGTCCTGGATCGGCCTTCCAATGTCATCAAGGCCAATCCTATGTCCATCTCCACCAGGGAGCCGTCGGCCAAGCTGAAAGTTTCCTCTTCGTCGCGGGCTATGCCCAATTCGTCCAAGATTGACCCTGGCACGACTGAGTAGAGTGACCCCGTGTCTACCATCCCTTCCAGAGTCACGAACCCGTCCCATCAGCGTTGCTTATCGAGAATGGGAGGCTGAAAGTTCCCATTCCTTTTCTCCCGACTATGGACCCGGGAAGTAGGATCCCGTTGCGCACTGCCATAACTGCCTAAACAAAGGACAACTGCTCGAAGTTGCCGCCCACCACGGATTGCGCGTCCAGGCCGAGCCACTGTTCCACCAGCGTGCCGTACACCCCGCGGAAGTCGGTGTGGAAGGCCAGGTCGCCCTCGATCAGGTCAGGCTCGGCGAGGGACGGATAGTCTCCGTACATTCCGCCGGCTACCGGGTCGCCGATGGCGAAGGCCAGGCCGCCGCTGCCGTGATCGGTGCCGCTGCCGTTGTCCTTGACCCGGCGGCCGAACTCGGTGAACACGAGCATGACCACGTTGTCGGCGGTGTCGTGTTCGCGCAGGTCGGCATGGAAATCGCTGACGGCGCGGCTGAGGTCGGCCAGCAGCTTGGGTTGGACGTCGGTCTCGCTAGCGTGGGTGTCATAGCCGCCCTGCTGGGTGTAGAACACGCGGGTGCCCAAGTTGGCGGTGAGCACTTTCGCTATGCCCTGCAAGTTGCGGGCGATGCCGCTATCGGCGTACTCCACAGCAGAGGAGTACAAATCGGGAGCGGCCTTGAGGATGTCCGCGCCCTTCAGGGCATCAAGCCCGGTCTGGCCCAGGTAGTCCATGGTCGCGCCGAGGCCGACGGTGGGGGAGTACATGCGCGCGAAGATGTCCAGAGCCTGCGAGCGCTCCGGTTCGTTGACGATGCCGGTGAGCACGCCGTAGGTTTCCAGCACGGCCACCGATGCCACGGGGACGCCGGTGAGCGCCATCGCCCGAGGCAGGCCACGCCCGAAGTTGACGCCCGTCAGCACGTTCTCGGCCCTGGGGTCGAGGTCACGGATGACGCGGCCCAGCCAGCCCTCGGTGCCGACCTTCTCCGGCTCGCAGGTGTGCCAGATGTCCATGCTGCGGAAGTGCGAGCGGTTCGGCGTGGGGTAGCCGATGCCGTTGATCACCGCGACCTTGCCGGCGTCGTAGAGGGTCTTGATCTCAGGAACCGCCGGGTTGAACCCGAAGTGGTCATCAATGGGCAGCACCTGGTCGGCCGATATCCCCACGGTGGGCCGGTTGTGGTGGTAGCGGCCGTCGGCGTAGGGAATGACCGTGTTCATGTAGTCGTTGCCGCCAGTAAGCTGAATGACGACGAGGATGGGGTCTTTGGTCGTAGCGGTCATGGTGGCATGGCTCCGTGGGTGAATATAAATGCTCAATCTGTTGATGGCCGTAGTTTAGCACAGTGGTAGTTCCGGACGGGATTGAAAAAGTTTGGACCGACAGGTCCGCGGAAACACGTGGCAGTAGATCCGAGTGGGTAATTTCTGTCACTCTGGGATCCAGTTGACAAGATCCCGATCGCTGGTTCTCCAAAGATGCGTGCCTCGCGATCCTCTCCGAAATGTCGCGCAACTCCCGGAGCAGCTGCCAGGGCGTGTCGTCAAAAGAGTCTGCTCCAGATCGTCACTGCCCGGAGTTGGCAGGCGGCCAAGTATGATGCCGTCCTTTTGGCGTAACGGGTCGCCACCCCGCGCCACTGCTTGAATTCCAAGTACCCGTTCTCCACCAAGTGCCGCAACTTGTACCGCGCCCGGTCATAGTCCCGCTTTTCCCTCCGGTTGCTTTTGGGCGGTATTACCGGGTTCATTCCCGTTTCCCGAGCGGTGGCTATGATTTCATTGGTGTCATAGGCTTTGTCCGCCAGCAGCCATTCCGCTTCTATACCCTCGATCAGGGGCAACGCCAAAGAGCAGTCGGCCACCGTGCCTCCAGTAACCCCCAACCTTACCGGCATTCCGTGGGCGTCCACCGCCAGGTGCAACTGGCTGTTCAGCCCCCTTTTGCGCGGGCGATGGCTTGGCTCCCACCCCGGGCGCCGGCACTGTGCGGATGCGCCTTGATATAGCGGGCGTCAATCATCCGGCACTCGAAATCCGGGTCATCCATCACCGCTTCCAGCAGCCTGGCCCACTCGCCCCGGTCCCGCCAGCGGCAGGAGCGGCGGTGGGTGTTCTTCCAGTCCCCGTAGTCCGGGGGCAGATCGCGCCAAGGGGCGCCCGTGCGCAGGATCCAGCAGACGGCGTCGATAAAGCGACGGTTGTCATGGGCGGGCCGCCCCACCCGGCCGGATTCTCCAGGCAGGTGAACCCGCAACCGCTCCCAAACCCGATCAGAAAGATCATGACGACGATGTGATGCTGTCATACCCCCACCCCTATCACTCACACTCACCACAGCAATTTACCATCATCTCCCTATTTGACGACACCCCTTAACGAACTCTGCCAGAACAACCTGCCGGCGTCATCAATGCAGGACTACCCGCATGAGGAAGTAAAGTGACTGCGCCCGAAAAGTGGCAGGGTTTGCCAATCAACTAACCTACCGGTCGCGGGTTCTGCCAGGTTACCGGGTCAACATTGTCAGTGCCCGCCGCTTGCATCAGAAACACGGTGAGGCGATACATCGATGCCGAAAGACCGCCACCGCGTTACAGTTTCTCTCCGTCCTTTAAATGTTACTCACTTGGAGTGCCCTGCCGATGCTATCCTGATGCATGGAGTTCCCGGCGACGCCGGTCGTCGTGATGGCAATATCACGAGCAGTGAAAGAATCGCAGTAACGGCACCATCATCAAGGAGGTTCCCCAATGGTTATGGATCGCCTGCCTTCCGGCCTGGTTCTGAGCGGCGGGTCGCTCATCTTCACCGAGGATACGATGCCGGATTCCCTCCGGCGAGAGCACGCGCTGCCCGCTCAACATTGGGCTGTGCTGCACGCCTTCGAGGGGAGCATCGCCTTCGTGGACCTTCAGGCTGGCGCCGAACGAATTATCTCCGCGCCGGATCACATCATCATCCATCCGGAAGTCCCTCACTTACTGAAAGAAGAAAGCTCCCTGCGCTGTCGGATTGACTTCTTCCGGGAACCGGACCCTGACCTCCACATGAGAACGCCCGGAGCTTTCGCGGAGGAGGCTGTGCGCGATAGACTGGAGCGCTGCGAAGCCAACGGGAACTTTGCGGAGGTCTTCTAAACACCTTCCTGAATTCCTCTCCTGACATCGCGCCGCACTTTGCCGCCACCGACTTCGAAAGGCAGAGGACATTACTGCGGGATTCGGTGTACACGATGGTGTCTCAGCATGTCACGGAGCCGGAGATGCGGGAGTTGTTGGAGCGGTTGGGGGAGGCGCATAACCGGGATAACCGGAACGTGCTGCCAAGCTTCTACGAGCTCTGGCTGGACAGCGTTTGTGAAACCGCCAAGGCCCTGGACCCGGAGTGGAGCGACGATCTTGACCGGCAGTGGCGCGCCAGACTGCGGCCCGGGATGCAGATCATAATGGCAGCCTACTGACCCGATAAGAGCCTATCCTAAAAACTGGTGGAAGTTTGCCGGCGTATGGCAAGAACGTAATCTGGTGTTCGGCTAGGCTGGGCAATGACCAAAGCGAACGATCCCAAGCCGCCGCGTCCGAAGCGTGCCGGCCCAGCCACCCCAGCCAATGCCACCACCGGCTCTTTTCAGGTATCCGACGAGCTTTGGGAGGTGTTGGCTCCCCTGATGCCCAAACGTGTGAACACCCATCGTTTCGGCGGCGGCCGGCCCAGAGTACCGGACCGGACCTGTGCCAACGGCATCTTCTACGTGCTGCGCACCGGCTGCCAGTGGAAGGCCTTGGACGCCACCGGCATCTGCTCTGGGTCCACGGCCCATCTGCGCTTTCAGGAGTGGGTTGCCGCTGGGGTGTTCCGGGAACTGTGGCGGGTGGGTCTGGAACGTTACGACGAACTGCAAGGGTTGGACTGGAGTTGGCTGAGTATGGACGGGGCCATGACCAAAGCTCCTTTGGGTGGGGGAAAAACCGGCCGCAATCCCACCGACCGAGGTAAGATTGGGTAACTATCCCTTGACAACACGTACCCGCATGGGGTGTTTTATGATGGACATGCAACGACGAACGATCAATATAGACCCCCAATCATTTGCCGAGGAATTTGCCCTGGGACTCCGCAAACGCGTCGCATACACCCTGGCCGAACGGGGTTTCTACAAATTCGGTAGTCAGCTCGCTATCGATGGCGTTGGAAATTCCAGTGCTAACCCGGACACGGAAATCAACCTCAGCGGGCAGATCGCGCATGAGGCGGGCGAGAGCGTTGATTAGCTCGTCGCGGACGATTTGCAGCCCGCGAATTTGACCTTCCAAGTATTCCTTTTCCTCTTGGTTCATGTTTGGCACCGCCCATGCAAGGTGCCGGAATTATACGCGCCGGGGTGCTTTCACCGGAGGGCTAGACTATGACTGAATCATGTTCAGATAATCGCGAAGCATTCGACCGTCTATCTCGAATATTGTACGAAGCAGCGGTATCTGGCCCACCTCTACCGGGGCAATCGTATCTGGCAACTCTCGCAGAGCAGCGGATACAGAATCCAGAAAGCCCCGAACAAACGCGCGATCGGCATCTTCTCGCGATGTATAGGGCCCGACTGTTCGCCTCGTTGCTATGTGCGCGTCAGCGGCGGCAGATAACAGGATGATGCTGTATGTTTCCCAAACATTGCCATCGATTCCCCCCAGCAAATGTTCGAGTGCCCCAGAACGTCCGTCCCACAATCTTTCAAGTGAATTGTCGCCCATAATCGAAATCTCCCGTGTAGCATCGGGGCGGCAGTATGCGGTGCCGCCGCGACGGATGCAACGGCCGGTAGTAAAATCCCGTCTATACGGGAGGCGTTCTATGTCGATTACGAAGAAACTGCGGATTGGCTCCGGCGCATACGTCTGGGTGATTATGGCCGTCATTGTCCTGGGCGCGGCTATGGGATGCGGGGCAAGTGCGGAAGAACGGACGGAAGCAACTGCGATGCCCGAACATATCCCCGTCGAGAGCGATGTTGCAGCAGTCCAGGCTGTACCAACCTCTACACCAACTGCGGAATGCCCCACACCCGCAGAACAGGAGTACTTGGATACCATCGAATCCGATATGCGGCGGTTGGGCACGTTGACAACTATGATGGCCGAGGATTTGGTCAGGCCAACGGAGAACCCCTATTTGTATGAAGACGACTTGTGGCGCATGACTATGGAAAACCACTTCCGTGTCTTGCCGCTGTTTGCAGATGCGTTGCTGGAACATGATCCGCCAGCGTCCGCATCCACATTGCGAGCATTGATCGAGCGCATGGTCGGCGATTACAAATCCGCAATAGAGTTATATGAGGGCGGTGTCGCCAACCTCGATGCTGACATGATGGTAGCAGGGGCTGATAAAATGACGCTATCAACAGATGATGCCAGGCAGATAGGTGCGCAGATAGCGTCATTTTGCCAAATCCGGGGGCGGTGAAATATGCCGGTAACAGTTCAGAGTTGAGGGGAAGTGAGCAATTGTTGGCAAGCGGTGAGGGTGTTGCTACCTTGTGCTCGCCAGGTGCCGAAGATTGAGGCCAGAGTCATCTTGGTGTCGGTGCCCCGCTCTGAGCGGGTGCCCCCGCTGACCTTGCGGCTGACCACCAAATGGCGCCGGCTGCGCTCGGCGGCATTGTTGTCCGGCGGCACTTCCGGTTGGGCCACGAAGACGAAGAGTTCCTTGATGTGTTTCTCCATGCGTCGGCACAGCCTGGCCTGGACCGCCGACGGGTCATCCAGAAAGGGACGGTAGAGGGCCAGCAGTCGCCTTTCCAGGGTCAGTTGGGCGGTGCGGCGTTGTGGCTCTGAAGGGTGGGTAAAGGTCGTGGCCTGGCGGTAGAGTTGGTGGACGGCGTCAGCCCACTGGGCCAGTGATCCATCATTTGGGTAGAGGACACGCAGGTCGTGGATGTCCCGCAGCAGGTGAGCCCAGCAGCGTTGCTTGGGACCGTCGTAATGGGGGTAGGCGGCAATGGTGGTAGGCAGCATAGAAGTCGCTGACCAGCACACCGGCGAAATTCTCGGTCAGGACCTCATCCACCACCGCCTTGCCCCGACCACGCCGCAGGAAGTACCGCTGGTCTGGGGTGCTGAAGGTGATTGGTCAAGGGCTCGCACACGTAGCCGTTGTGTCCGTCTTCACGCCAGCCGGTCTCATCGGCGTGGACCACTGGGCTGCCGCGGATGCGCTCCAGTATGCCCGCCAGTTCGGTCTGCGCTTTGCCCGCCACGGTGCGTGTGGCATTTACGATGGCGCCCAAGCTGAGGGCGAAGCCCATGCACGGTGTCCAGGCACCATTGGATGGTGCGCAACGGCAGCCGAGCCTCCCCCGCAGGGCTGTAATCAGGCTGATGACGTTGACCCCCCAGACGCTGCTTGCCCCATCACCACGCCGTCCAGTTGTGCTTGGGAACACGGCAGCGTCGGCACTGTAGACAGGTGCGGGCCAGGTAACGTGCTCGGTTACCTGCGCCGGAACCTGGGGCAGGGTCGATGACTCCGAGTGCGCTGGGCCCAGCCTCCGGACAAGTGGGTCCCGCAGTCGGGACACTGCTCCACCACATCTCAACCGGTGGGTGGGCGTCATGCGGGATCGGGCAAAGCCGTGCGGCCGGGGTTTGCGTGGGCTCCTTGGGACGTGCTGGCTCCCGGTCCGCTTGGGCTTCAGACGGGCATCCGGCGGGAGCTTTGGGGTTTGGCTTGGCCTTCCAACTGGGCAATCCGCTTCTCCGGCCGTTCGATGATGGCCTGCTGCCGGATTATGATGCCAATCAGGACATCCCGGTCGGCTGCCCTGAGATTGATTTCGGTATCCATCCCAGTTATATGACATCACCACCGCCCCCAAAGCCAGCCACCCGCTAACCAAGTTCGCCCAATTCACCCCACCAACTCTGAACTGTTACGATTTCAGTGTTCGGATTCCCATGTTTCTGATAGTAGACTAATTGGTGAGTTTATTTTTGACGTGGATGGAGTTTGGGCGGGGTTGGTGTGGCTTTGCTATTTGTCCACAGACCCTAGCAAGCGTGATGTGTCCCTGGGCACGGGAGGTGTGGACCCTTGCCAGTAAACTGTCGCCAGCGGCCAGTTCGTGAGGCGGGGGACGTTAGGCGGTTTGGGCTTGCGCCCTGCGCTGGGTTATGGACATAGTGTTCTCTGTCGGGTACTACGCTTCGAGGAAGTCGTATCGTCACATTTGTTCGCAGTTGTCGTTTTAGGTGGCTAACTCGCTCTCATCCATTTGCCAAGTTCCTTGGAGCCATGTCGTCGCGCCAAGTTTGTGAAAGTTTCTGGGTGTCCCGTCAGTTTCCTAAGAGGAACCCCTCGACGTCGATGTCGAGTACTACAACTCGTGCGATGACCGTCTTGCCGTGCCGGCGTATTCCGGTTATGGGATAGTCTTCCCCGGTACTATAGCTGTGGAGGTGTTGTCCGTTCATCAGGGACTCTGCCTGTGCTGCTTGTTCTGCGTTGTCGTATTCGTAATAGAAATGCAACGTTGACGTGTCGCCTTCGTTCATCCTTCCTGCGCTGGCGGAGAAGTTTGGGGACGGGAAGCCTTGAGAGTCGTTTTGCGGTTCATGGTACTGCGCGACTAGGAAGTCAACGGCACTGGTTTGATTCAAGAGACGCGCTAGGGGCTCGTCAAGTGTGGCGCCATCCAGTCGCCGGCCTATGGCTTCTTCCAACAGCTTCGGTGGAAATGATCCGTCGTTTCGTGCTAACAGCAGTGTGTCGGATTCCATCACGGCTAGGTATAGGTCGTAACGTCCTTGGAACGCAAATATTTCTACTTCTCGATGTGTGTAGAGAACCGCTGCTCCCTTGGTGACCGCCTCGCGGAGGACCTTTGGGAAAGTGCTGAAATCCCCGCGGAGGATGGCGGTGCCTTTCGCTCGGCCGTTGACGCTGAACGCTGCGGTCGTGATTGCCGCGGATTTGACCAATCGTTCATTGAGGGTTCCTTCGGTGGCACGGACCAGCGCCAACAGCTGGTCTTCCCAAGGGTAGTCTTGTTGGCTGGGGCGTTGGGATACTTTGCCGAATTCTACGAACCAGACTGCCGAGCGGTCGGTCGGGAGCCAAGTCAGGAGTTCGGCGGGATGGTCCAGAGGATTGGTTGAGAAGGTAATGTTGGCGGTTGGCGCCGTTGTCGGAGTGTTTGGTGGGAGCGGCGTTGTCGACGTGGTTGTGAGAGACTCACAGGCCATGATTGCGACGGTAGTTATTGCAGCCAGTATTATGGGCGTCGGAAAAGCGTCGATTGGACTGCGTAAGTTCTTCACAATGTCTCCGGTCGACTGCAACAAAGGGTTCTTTGATAATATCCTACAGTACCCGACGTGGATAGGCCATCAGGCTGACGACTTCCACTGGTCGGTCGGCGACGCTTTTCAGTTGAGTGCGTGTGTGTACCAGCCCACCGCGACCCTGAATTGGCTGTTCCATTCGTGGGTTTATCTTTCGATTTCGCTGGTTCCACGGAACACTATGCCTGTGAGTGCGATATCGTAGGTTCCCGGTCTAGGATTAGCGCACCTGTTCCGTTGGGCTTGCCCAAGAAGTAGCCACCTCCTTCCGTTTCCCCCTTGCCCGCTACGGGCGTAACAATGACGACGTCTGGCGGGTCGTCCCATCCTGACAATCTGGCTATGTTGGCTAAGATCGCTGGCGGGGCGAATGGCTCTTCCGCGGCGGCTCTGTAGAGCTCCTTTAAGCCCCAATCCACCGAAGAGATGAGTGTCGGGGCGGGTTGAAGGTGTAAGAAAGTGCCCTTTACTTCTGGGATAATGGTTTGTGAAACACCAAACCGACCCAAAAGAAGGAGCACCAAACGGATGCTACCACTACGCACCCCGACCGACATCCAGATCGCCTTCGACGACCACCGCCTGGTCAGCAATGCTGGGCTGATCTTCCGTCCACGCTGGCTTGCATCTGGGCCTCACTGGTTGATCGGCACCTGGACCCACTGGGCCGGGACACCCCACGCGGGCAACCCGCGACCAGATGCATGTCGCTGGTGGTGCCTTCCGCCCTGGCTGCACGACTGCATCGACGACGCCGACGGGTTGCGCGACCGCAGGAACGGCCCCGCGAAAGTCGGCATGCGCTGCGCGTCAAGCGCGCCGTCCACCTGGCACCTTCCTGCGCAGCTCCGGTGGGGCCACGCCGCAGCTGGGACCGGGGTGAGCCGGGAGACTGCTTGGACGCGCGTTCCTGCCGCGGTGGGTGGCGGACCCAGATACTTTGAACATCACGGGCCGTTGACCATCGACTGGATTTCAACCATCTGCGAGACCTTCGATCGGCAAAGCGCCGCCACCATGGCACACCGCCAGCCGCGGGGCTATCAACACCTCGCTGCTGGCTGTTGCCCATCGCGCCGGAACCGGCGACGTGCTGATGATGGCTCGGCTACCCCGTTCCGATGAGCCCAGCGCCATCACCGCTCGGACCCGCCGCCTCACCCTGGCAGCTGCCGCACGGCCCTTTGGCCTGGAAACCCCTGTTCACTCGTGGCCTGCTGCGATGCGCGCCTTGCCGCTCCTTCCTGACCGCTGCGCCGCAACCGGCCCGCCACTCTCGCCTTCATCACCAGCCAGTCCAATCTCTCTCCAACACTCCGCGCCGTACACCTGGACCGACGAGGGATTTCTTGCCGCCTTCGACACTTCATGCGCGGCTCCCTTCGCCGACAACAGGCGCACTACCAGGCGCCATCCGCCCGAATCAGACTGGCGACCCCGTCTCCATCCGGTCGTGTCCCACTTCCAGCGCCCCACAACCAATCGCATTGTTTTTTTGGGTGGGATTGGGCTATGCTAAACGTCAACCAGCCTTCCTGAATCCCTTTGGCACACACCCTCTAAGAGGGTGTGTGACAAATCCGCTGGATTACGCGGGGATACCTGAATCACTGCAAACTGAGTCCCTTCCCGCTGAATGGGGAAAGGTTCAAATGGTGGTGAAAACCCAATTGTCACACACCCTCTAAGAGGGTGTCTAAAAATGGGGAAGGCGGGCCAGTCTGCGCAGGGTGAGGCGGTCATTGCGTGTAAATCCAGGTTTCGGTGGTTTCACACATGCTTCGTAGTCCTTGCTCAACCGTCGTTGCAGGTCAGCCAACCGAAGGTGCGTTCCACGACCCACCGCCGGGGCAGCACCTGAAAGGTATGCTGCTGTGCTGGGCGCCGCACCAACTCCAGGGTCCAGCCGCCCACCGTCCTGGCCCACTCTACCAATTTGCCGCCGTAGGCCCCATCAGCCCAGATCAGCTGTAGTCGAGGGAAACGGCCCACAGCCGGGTCAGTACCAACCGGGCGCCGTCCCGGTCCTGAATGTCGGCGGGATGCACTGCCACCGCCAGCGGCAGCCCAGGGTATCCACCACGATGTGGCGTTTGCGGCCCCTTCACCTTCTTGCCGGCGTCGTAGCCTCTGGGCCCCCTTTTTCCGTGGTCTTCACCGACTGACTGTCGATGATGGCCGCGCTGGGACTGGCCTGGCGACCCTGAGCCTGCCGCAGCTCGGCGTGCAGGACGCCATGTACCCGTTGCCAGGTGCCATCACGACGCCAGGTCCGGAAGTAGTGGAAGACAATGCGCCACGGCGGCAGGTCGTGGGGCAGCATCCGCCAGGAGCACCCAGTGCGCAGCACGTAGCGGATGGCGTTGACGATCTCCCGCCGGGGTAGGTGATCGGGTCGGCCGCCCGTTTGGGCGGTGGCAGCAATGGTTCCAGCAGTTGCCATTCTCGGTCGCTGAGGTCGCTGGGATAGGCTGGTCGTTTCATGCCCCCACGTTACGACCAAGCCCCTTATCACGCCTGTATACCTCTACCCCAATTTCAACCTTTTTAGACACCCTCTAAGAGATTCCGTTGCTTGCGCCGCTCGAAAATGCGCAAAGTCCAGCTAATCACCCTGCTTGCAACCACCGCCGTCCCTCCGGACGCCGGCCCGTGCCGTATAATGCCGCCCTGCCGGAGGTCCCAACATGCCCCTGATCCTCACCAACGCCAACCTCATTGACTGCGTCAACGAGGGCGTCACGCCCGACGCCACCGTCGTCATCGATGACGACCGCATCGCTGAGGTCGGACCCGGCCGCGCCGCATCGGCCAGCGCTACCGTCATCGACCTGCGCGGAGCTTTCCTCCTGCCCGGCCTGTGGGACGTCCACATCCATCCCGAGTACCCCGTCCCGCCCGGCATGACCGTGGCCCAGGAGACCGCCAACTTCGGCCGCGCCCTTTCGCTGGCCCTCACCGAGGGCGGCGTCACCGCCGTGCGCTGTGGCGGCGCGGCCCACTTCATGGACGTCGCCTGGAAGCGCGCCTTCGACTCCGGCGACGTGATCGGCCCCCGCGTCTTCGCCTCCGGCTACTTCCTGACCACCACCGGCGGCCACTTCCTCACCTCCGGCCAGGCCCGCGAGTGCGACGGGCCCTACGGCTTCGTCCAGGCCATCCGCGAACAGATCAAGAACGGCGTCGACCACATCAAGCTCAACCTCACCGGGGGCATTATGGGCCCAGATTGGGATCGCCACTGGCACTCCTTCTTCCTGGAGGACGAGCTCACCGCCGCCTTCGCCATCGCGCGCCAGCGCGAGTTCCCCGTGATGGCCCACGCCGCCAACCCCGACGCCGTCAAGTCTGCCCTCCGCCTCGGCGCCCACACCGTCGAGCACGGCTACATCATGGACGAGGAGTGCATCGCCACCCTCGCCGAATCGCCCACCTGGTACGTGCCGACCCTGGCCATCTCCCATCTCACCGAAGGACAGGCCCAAAACGATTACGAAAAACGCTGGCTGGCCCAGCGCAACATCGCCCAGGAGTTGCAGTGCCGCGCCGACGCGGCTGCCGACGAGCACGCCCGCTGGTTCCGCCGCGCCCTGGATTCCGGCGCGAAGATGGCTCTCGGCTCCGACATCCGCCCCCTGCGCGAGGCCGCTCTACTGGAGATGGGACTCTGGGTCCGCGACGGCGCGACGACCTGGCAGACCCTCCAGGCCGCCACCCGCAACGCCGCCGAGCTATGCGGCGTCGGAGATCAGCTTGGTACCGTGGAGGCCGGCAAGCTCGCCGATCTCATCGTCGTCGCCGCCAACCCCCTCGACGACATCAACCACCTGCGCCAGCTCCAACTCGTCATCAAAAACGGCCGCCTCGTCTCCGACAAACGGCCGTCAACTTAACCTGCGGGGAACCGCCGTCACGCGGTCGCCTGGCCCTCCGCCTCCTGTCCCGCCTTCCATTCGGCCTCCTTCTCAGACGGCCGCCACGGCTTGACCAAGGGCTCTACGTCCACCGGTTCAAGCCGATAAACCCTGCCGTACTGTGCCGCCGTTTCCAGATCACCAGCCGCCAGCGCGGCGCGTGCGGCATCCATGCGTTTACCGTCTTGTTGCGCTACGCTGGCGGCCCAGCGGGACCCGATGCCTTTCAACTCAGTCTGCACTTCCACTACATAGCCGTTGGCCTCTTCCATTCGAGTTCGGTACCGCTCGTAGCACGTCGCCGGAGAACCTGCGCCGTTGGGTGAAATGTCCAAGGGGACCATCCGATACAGATCGCCTTGGGAAGCGGCCACGTTCAAATAACCGTGGTCAATCGCGTCCTGAAAATCCTCAATCCTGTCCAGGTCGAATATTTGAATGTACGGGAAAGGGCATTCATTGGGATCGGGGATCGACATCTCCATACGCAAGGCATATTCCCGGTGGTAGGTCATACGGGGAAAATACTCAAAGGTGGTGAAGTTCATCGTCGCCTCCTGGTAACCAAGTCAGGTTCCCAACGGTCGAGGCCGGGATAATATGCGGTGATCACCAGCGCGTCTCCACTGTCAGCATGAAATCCCCAAACCACGTGCAGTGGCGTCCCCGTGGAATCGCGTTGCAATAATAGCACGGCGGGTTGTTCACCGGGATCTTCGTACTCTTCTACCACCGTCGCATCAACGATGCCGTTAACTAGATCGAAATCGTCGATCCCACGCTGGTCACGCCGCGTTCGCCCGTGCCGGCTGGGCCGAACACGTCCGGCGGCGACCAGCGCCTGCACCTGTTCCAGCAGGCTGGGCATCCGGTCGCCGCCGCTTGAACTACAGTAGCGCCACCGGGTTCACCGGCGAGCCGGTGCCGCCCACCACCCGCAGCGGGTTGATGGTCAGCATGAACTCCCAGCGGCCCTCCTCGGCGCAGGCTTCCGCCAGCGGCTGCAGCAGCGCGTTGTCCAGCAGCCCGATGCCGTAGGCGAAGATGCTGCCGTGCACCGACCACGGCAGGTCGTACCCGTTGGGCGTGTGGTCCATCATGTCCCACACCAGCACGCAGCAGTCGCTCTGCCGGATGAACTTCAGGCACGACGTATGCAGACCCGGCCGCTGCGTCGGGTCGCTGCCCCAGATGGCGTTGCCGTCGGCGTTCCACTTCTCTCGGCCACCGTACACCACCAGGGCGTCGCCCGGCTCCATCTGCACACCCTGGGCGTCGCAGATATCCTGCAGTTCCCAGGAATGGATCGGTGTTTCCTGGGTCACGTAGTCGGTGCCCCGGTGGCGCGGCACGTCCAGCAGCACTCCCCGCGTGATGATGCCTTCCTTCCAGTGTTCCACTGACCCGTACTTGGCTCCGTCGAACTGGATCATCTCGTTGGGGTCCTTGCCGTTCCACATGCCGTTGTGGTCCCACACGTGGCAAAGGGCGTCCAGGTGCGTGGTGGCGGTGCCGTGGTAGGAGATGCCGTAGTAGTCCGTGGACATGCCGCCGCCCGGATCCCGCGGACCCTTCCGCATGTAGTGGATGGCCGGCGTCGGGTTGTTCGGCGCCGGCGTCACCGGGAACTCCCGGCTCAGCGACACCGCCCGCCCGGTCTTGATCAGGCCGGCCGCCCGCAGCCGCTTGGCGTCGTCAACCATGTTGACCGCGCCCTTCTGGTCGTCCGGGACCCCAGCGGCCCCAGTGGTATCGTCCTTGAGATAACCGAGGACTTCCTCTTTACTGGGCGCTTGTCGTGGTGGTCATGTGCGTCCCTCCGTGTTCGGCGCGAACACCTGCCGCGCCGGTCGCGTTCGCCGCAAGGTTGCCACATGCGGTAGGAATGCAAGCGTACAAACGAAGAGAGTGCGTTATTCGACCACGCGACCAACCGCGCTTGAGGCAGGTTTATCTCCTGCAGCCATTTGCTAGGCTTACGGAGTAGTCAACAGAATTTCCGACCGTCCTAGACGAGTGATCCGCCCCGCATTTTCCAGGTAAGTGATCAAATTGCTACGCGGCGGCCATCGGTTTGGTTGATGTGCACTTTGACGTCTGGCTGCAACAGATTCGGATGGGACTTCTTAACCGCCTGTTCGATACGATCATGAATATCGCGTCTTCAGACACGTCTCAATGTCGTAAGCGTAGTTGCGGAGTGATGGAGTGGAGTTGATCGTTTCGGAGCATGCTGCTCAGCAATTCTCGCTCGCCCATTACGGCCCAGACTTTGATCCCATGGTCATGATCGAGGTGGAGATCCAAACGATCCCTCCCGCTTGCAAAATTGACCAAATTGCTTGAAGTCGCCTGTATCAAGGGCAGTCTCGCCGCGTCATAACCGGTGAACGCGGATCAACTCAGACATTTCATCCATTGTGCGATAGTAATCCCCACTGGGGAATTCGCCGTCACCTTCGTAGTCGAAGTCTTTGTCGTCCAATTCGATGCTGAAATCGGGTTCGTACGCTTCGACCGTGAACCTTATGAAACCTTGGCAATGAGGGCACTGGAAACCCCGCGCGCTGTAGAGATGTCCTGGTCGTTCATCTAGCATTCCTCCATCGGAAAGCATGTGCAGAGCTAGGAATGTAGTGCCCAGTATCATACCGTTTCCACTCTTACGGCATTGGACACATGCTCTGGCCCCAGATCGTCGCGTGCAATCAAAAATCCCAGTCCCGCCCGTGGTAGCACGCCTCCCAGAACTGGTACTCGTAGCGCAGCGTCGTGCGGAAGATGCGGTCCAAGTTCGCCCGCTTGGTCGCGCCGGCCCGCTCGCCGGCGTCGTTGAGCCGTTCCGTGAACCAGGCCACCACGTCGCCCAGCACGTCGGGATTGTGGATGTCGATCCAGCCCTGGTACACGGCGTTATTCGGCTGCGCGCCAGAGTTGATCAGCCGTTCCGCCCAATCCAGGTAGGTGCCCTCGGTCACGTAGAACAGGGCCAGCAGGTCATCGAAATCGCCCTCCAGCGCGGTTCGCACCATGAAGTCGCCAAACCCTTGCGTGACGGGGTTGGCCTCGGTCTCGAGGTACTGCTCCGCCGTAACCCCCAGGTCGTGAAAGCCGTTCAGGAACAGGTCGTTCTCCGCGGAAAGGAAGTTGGACAGGAACCCGTTGAGTATCTTGCCCGCGTCGTAGTCCGGCGCGGCCTTGGCGATGGCGATGGACGTCAGCTTCACCAAATCCTTGCAGAAGACATAGTCCTGCCGGAAGTAGCTGCGGAACTTGGCGATGTCCAGGCTGCCATCGCCCATCTCCAACACAAACGGATGCGTGACCATCGACTCCCACTGGTCGTGATACTTCGCGCGCAGTTCGTCGGTCAGGGCCATAACACTTGCTCCATGAGGCGATGATTGAGGTCTGGGTGATTGAGGTCTGGATAATTGTGGTCTGAATGAATGTCATTGCGGCCGACGCGCGGCAATCTCGCCGGGCGCAGCAGCCACAGTCGCCGGGGCTGGTCTGACCGGGGCTGGTCTCACTGGAGCTGGATTGCCGGTCCGCCGCGCTCCCCGCGATACCGACGCGCAGCACTCACGCCGACTCGGCCAGGCAGCCGAAGAACCGGTCCATCATCCCCTTGGCCACCGAGCCCATCATGCGCTGTCCCACCCGTGCCGCCGCCCCACCCACCTGGCCGTCGGTGTCCACGTGCAGGTCGGTCCCGCCGCCCGACGCGGGCGTCAGCGTGACGCTGGACACGCCGTTGACGAAACCCAGGTTGCCGGAACCTTCGATGGTCATCCGGTAGGAATGGGGCGGGTTGAGCTCGGACAATGCCACCGTCGCCGTGAAGTTCCCACTGATCGGGCCCACCCGCACCGTCGCGCTGGCCCGGTAGCGGTCCGGTCCATCTGGCTCGATGCTGCGGCAGCCGGGGATGCAGCCGGCCAGCACGTCGGGATTCATCAGCGCGTCCCAGACGTCCTGCGGCTCCTTGTCGAAATGGTAATCAGCAGAAAGTTCCATAGCGCGCCGATTATAGCAGGGACGTCAGCGCTTGATGCTGGGCCCGGCTTCCTTTGATCGCGTACCTGGGGGTAATCGTCACCCCAGCGCAAGAGCCCTCAATAGGTGAATGCACCAGTGTCTAGTCCAGCCCCATCCGCCGCAGCGTGTAGGCGTCCCCGGCCATAATCTCCGCAATCCTCGGCGGCAGGCCGCGAAAATCATCGGTCGCCGCCGAGATCAATCTACCGGTCAGTTCCCCGCTGTCTTCCGACGCCAGCCACACCGCCAGCTCGGCGCACTCGTCAATGGACGCGCCCCCGCCCGACGTGACCCTCATCCCAAGTTGGTGGATGAAGTCCGCGCCCGCCTCTGCCGCTTGCTCGGTCATTTTGTCCCACATGCTGGTATGCACCGAGCCCGGCCCCAGGGCGTTCACCGTGATCCCCCTGCCATCCAGTTCCTGGGCCAACACTTCGGTGAGCCGCACCACCGCCGCCTTGCTGGAACAGTAGGCCGACATATTGCTCCAGGCATTGGTCGCCCCCGCGCCCGACAGGTTGATGATCTTTCCCGCCGATTGCCCCAGCATCACGGGTATAACGGCGCGACATACCAGGAACGTGCCGGTGAGGTTGACGCTGATGGTGTTCACCCAGTCTGCGATGTCGTTGCCCTGCAACGGCCCGACCGGGCCGGAGTTACCCGCGTTGTTGACCAGCACGTCAATCCGCCCGAATCGATCAACCACTCTACGGGCCAACCGTTCCGTATCTTCCTGGCTGGTGACGTCGGTGGGGACGGCCATCGCTTCGGCGCCCAGCTCCGATACGGCCCCGACGGCCTCGTCCAGCTCAGTTTCGTTGCGAGCGGCCAGCGCCAGCTTTGCGCCTTCCCGGGCATAGGCCAGGGCGATGGCCCGTCCAATGCCTCTACCGGAACCCGTGATGACTGCTACCTGACCTTCCAATTTCATGGCATAACCTCGCCGGAATTACATTACCAACCAGGGAGTTTGGTCCCCATGGTTGGCTCCTAATCGTCACCGCCCGAAGCTGACAGTTAGTCGAGCACGATGCTGTCCGTTTGGCATAAAGAGTAGCCACACTTAGCCGCCGTTACCGGAACCGCCACGGCGCGAAACGACGCGAGGGGCAAGACCCAATATATGTGAGTGCCGACCCGAATCAGTCTCCGGCGGCCGGGTTGTGCTGGGTTCCGGCCGGCGTTGTCGGCTGATCCGACGCCGCGGCTGCCGGCTGCGGCGGTTCAGGCTCTTTCTTCGCCGGGAACACTGCCCGGTAAATCCCGTAAACGAACCGCAGCCCGAATTCCAGGACCACCAGAAACACCAAGTAGTAGAAGATGGTGTCGGCCAAACCGATGATCTGCCTCAAAACCTCCAACGACGCCTCCACGTCGAAGAAAGACGTGTCGATCACGAAAATCGCCAATACGGCAAAGGGTAGGATCTTCGACAGGTCACGGGACAGGTCCTCGTTGTAGTACGCGCACACTCGTATGGTGCTCACCGTCGCCAATGCGATCAGCAGTATGTCCGACATCTCACGCCCTTCCGACAGGAAAGACAGCATCAGCGTGAGAACCGCGAACCAGAAAAACGCGAACGCCGGAAACAGGATCACATACTTGGTGAGATACCCCATAAGGTGCAGAAAGTCACGCAGCACCGGGATACCTGAGTCGTCATGCTTGGAGAAGTCCAGGTTGAACATGTCCCGTCCGGCGATGAACCGGTAAAACTTGAAAATGAACACCGCGTAAATCGCCATGCCCAGGGCATACACCGCCACGGGACCCAGAACCCGCAGCGCCTCGCCCACGCTCAACCCGACGGGGAACAATGCCTCAATTCCCGAAGTCCCCATACGCCCCCTTGTCGCTCTTGCTCAAGCGGAGCTTGCCGGTTGCGACTCCGCTAGCTCCATCAGGAAAAACCGTAGATCGCTGACTACCGTTCATCCGCCAGCAGCAGCGCGTTCAGCAGCACCTGCGCCCCGTTGGCGCAGTCTTCCGGCGTGGTGTGCTCCGCCGGCGCGTGGCTGATACCGCCCACGCTGGGCACGAACACCATTGCCGCCGGAGTAATTGCGGCGATGGCCTGCGCGTCGTGACCCGCACCACTGGGCAGGCTCACGTGCTCCAGTCCCGCCATACCGGTCGCGTCCGCTATCAGTTGCTGCATGTTCCCGGAGACGGGCACCGACGGAGTGTTGCGCTGGGCCGTTACGGCCACGGCCACCTGCTCGGCGTGCCCCACTTCCTCGGCGGTGCGGCGCAGTTCCACCTCGGCCGCAGCCAGCGATTCCATTCGTTCGTCCCGGAACTCCACGCCCATCTGCACTCGGCCCGGGATCACGTTGCCCGCGTTGGGATGAACGTCCATCGAGCCCACCGTGCCCACCCGGCACACCTCCATCTCGCCGGCAATGCGGCGCACGGCCAGGGCGATCTGCGCCGCCGCCGACATGGCGTCCCGCCGCAGCGCCATGGGTGTCGTCCCGGCGTGGTTTGCCTCGCCCACGATGTCCACGTGGTACACCGAGCGACCGGTTATCCCGGTCACAACTCCGATGGGAAACCCGCCCCGGTGCAGGGTAGGACCCTGCTCGATGTGTAGTTCCAGGTAGCATGCCAGCTCTTCGGGCCGGCGGCGCGCGGCATCAACTCGCGAGATGTTGCCGCCAATGCTCGGCAGTGTGTCCGTCAGGCTGGTCCCGTCGTCGTCTACGGCGGCGAAGTCCTCCGGCTCCCACAGGCCGGCCACGGCCCGGCTGCCCAGCAGCCAGCGATGGAAGCTGGTGCCCTCCTCGTTGGTGAACACCATAACCTCGACCGGATGCCGCGGCGTGACTCCCGCGTCTCGCAACGCCTCCACCGCCTCGATGGCCCCGATCACCCCCAGCGCCCCGTCATACGCGCCTCCGCTGGGGTACCGTGTCGGTATGCGAGCCGAGCACGATGGCGGGCATGGCCGGCTCGGTCCCTTCCAACCGGCCGATGATGTTGCCAGCTGGGTCGATGCGCACGGACATGCCGGCGCCGCGCATCAGCGCGCTGACGTAGTCGCGGCCGGCAACGTCCTGCCGGGAGAAAGCCACCCGCTGCATCCCGAACTCGTCCCGCCCGATCTGCCCCAGGGCGTTCAGGTTGTCGTTCAGGCG